GCAAGAGTCTGCGATATTACTTCATTCGAAGTCTTTGAGGTCCGATGTTCGGCATTTCTTGTGGCTTTGGGACGGTGTGGGCTGTATTTGGCGGACCGATGGCGACGAAAGCATCGGATTTCGTTGAATACCGACGGATTCCCGGTCCGTTGTGTTGCAGACGACTGGCAGACGAAATCAAAGCAGAGAGTGCGGGCAAGACGAAAGAAAACGAAGGTTTGAGGTTCTGGGTTTAGGCATTATATAGGGACTGCCAGAAGATACCATCACGAATTGTCCCGAACCCTTGCTTAAACCCTTGATCCCTTTAGAGTTCGTCGGAAATGTCGTAAGCTTCAAGCTCCAGAGCAACCCCCAAAACTCGAATTCCCGTAAGCCCCGACGCAAAATTTGCGCAAGTCCAGCAGCCCTAAGCTGGCTCTGAGATTATAGTATAGTATTTTGGGGGTTCCTTATAATGATTATAGTATAGTATTTGGGGGGTTCCTTATTCAGATTATAGTATAGCATTTTGGGGGTTCCTTATTATGATTGTAGTACAGTATACCCCCAAAAATCCTCTTCTAATGATTATAAGGCCCCCTATATTACAGGAGCCTCAAGCTGGCTCTAGGCGCCCTGGTGGAGCCCTGTTCGCAACACCGGCAGAAGCCCTGCCATGAGCAGGAGCTTGCTCCCAAGGCCCCCCGAGATGATGTAGGAACCTGATTCCAGAAACCTTTGGGTTTAGGGTTTAGGGTTTAGGGTTTAGGGTTTAGGGTTTAGGGTTTAGGGTTTAGGGTTGGGCTCCTTATATGAATCCTACGATTTTGGGGGGGGGGTTTTGGCCCAGGGTTTCTTAATCAGGTTCCTACATTATGCACCCGACCCCAAACCTTGAATCGTAATGCCGAAGACACCAGAGCTGCAATCCCCAACATAGGGGCTTTTAGGGTTTAGGGGTCCAATATAGGGGCCTTTGTGCCGTAATAAGGAGAAAAGGGTTTTGGGGCCCATTATGCTATATCAGTAATAAGGACCGTATAGGTAATTATTAGGGCCCCTATCTGATTTTGATAGTGGCCTCCCACCCCCGAGTGAGCTGCTGCTTGTGGACATTGAAGGCCTGGCAAGCAAGTGGCGTAGGGCTTGGGATTCGGGGGTGTAGGGCTGAAGGGTCTAGGGCTTGAGGGTTTCGAGGGGTGTAAGCCTTTAGGGTTCCTTTAGGAAGTTTAGGGTTCCTTTGGGGGTTCCTTTAGGGCTTTGGGGATTTAGGGTTTAGGGCTTTTGCGATGTAGGGGCTTGGGGCTGTGACGCTTTAGGGCGTGAGGGCTTCAGGGTGCTTTCGGGGTCTAGGGCTTCAGGTCCCCAGAGCTTCTGGGGTTTGGGGTGTGCGGTTTAAGGGCTTAGGGATTTAATGCTTTGGGGCTGAAGAGGTCTCGGGCTTTAGGGTGGAATATTGGATACTGCCCCCACTCAGTCACCGTTGAATAACTACACCCTAAACCCTAAACCCTAAAACTAAAACCCATTGAATAACATTTAAAATTAGATGAACAAGGCCCTTAACAACAGCAGCCATCTTAACAACTTTGCTGCATAGGGGGCCGTACCCCAGGTACCCAGAGAGCCCAATACCCCTTAACTTAAGGAATATACCTTAAACTACTAGGGGGTTCACATTATAATCTAAGCTATATTCCTGAATTAAGGGGTATTGGGCTCTCAGGGTAGATAGTTCCAAGGTTAGGGTCTGGGGAAGTGGAAGGAACGGTCGAGACGGTTGCGCAGAGTCCAAGGCTGAGGGTTTAGGGTGTAGGCTCCGGGGTTTAGGGCGTTTCAAGGTTTAGGCTTCAAGGTTCCAACAGTTCAAAACCTGAACTTAGAATTTAAGCTCAAGGCTAAGAAATCCCTCCAAACCTGAAGCTAAAAGAACAAGAGCCGATTAAACCAACGGCCCGCTCAACTACTACCCAGAACCCAACACTTAAGCGCTCTTCAAGAAACACCTGCAACAGCCGAAAAACCCGAGAGTGCTCAGATCCTGAACCCCTGAACCTGAAACCCAGCCCGAAAACCCAAAAAACGGAAACCCGCCTGCTTGCTGCGCTGTCTAGGGCCTTGATGAGGTTCTCTGCATATTCTTTGTACTTCGCCTGGTTCCCAATTTGAGTGCTTTAGGTTTTGAAGTTTTGGGGTTTAAGGTTTGGGGTTTAGGGGAACTTTCATTATACGACTATGTTGAGGTTCCACCTTAGCAACTGCCAACAAAGCAGTTTTGAATACCCCTGCAATTGAGGGAATCAACATTGCAGTTGTGCCAGCTGGCAACACTTAGCAACAGTAGCATCAGAAGGAGTAGTAGTTGTTGTTGTTGGTCGTCGTAGTAGTAGTAGTAGTAGTAGTAGTAGTAGCAGCAGGAGTAGTAGTAGTAGTAGTAGTAGTAGTAGTAGTAGTAGTAGTAGTCGTCGTCGTCCTCGTCGTCGTCGTTGCCGTCGTTGTGGCAGCGGTAGCTGTAGCAGCGGTAATAGAGACAGCACAAACAAAAGCAAAGGCAAAACATGGTAATATTCCTAACAATCATCTGTTCTCAAAAGGCTCGAGGAAGACTAGCCCTTGTCTAATTGAGGTACTCTTCAATGCTCCATCCCACCTTGGAGGCCCAACCATGACATTCGCGTGTCGAAGCAGAAGTGGTGTTGAAGAGGATCCCCTTTGCGACGATGTCGACCGGCATCAAGCCCTAAGCCCTGGACCCCAGACCTCAAAACCAGATGCCCTGCACCCCAAACCCTAAACCCTTCCCAGGAGGTACCTCACTGTGCTTTGTGTGGCTCTGATGCCGCACACAGTCCCTGCAGTGCTCGAGTTCGACCCAGGCGCCCTGCGGGTTCGGAATGTCTGCGATGATGGGGTAGGCATGTTCTTTGCAAATATGAATGGTGACTTATGGAGGATGGTGGCCCAAATTTTGATGACAATGACGATGACGGCGACATAGACGACTATGATGCTGATGATGATGATGATGATGATGATGGTGGTGGTGGTGATGGCGGTGATGATGACGATGGTGACGATGTCGATGATGTTGATTACGATGATGACGACGGTGATGATGGTGATTATGGTGATTATGGTGATGATGGTGATGATGTCGATGAGGATGCTGGCGATGATGATGACGATGAGGATGATGATGAGGATGATGATGATGATGATGATGATACTTCGGCAAGTGCTCCTGCTCCAGGAATGAAGATTGAATCTCAACCTGGGGTGAAGATGTTACGCTTCAGGCAAAAGTCATCTGCTGGGAAGGTCGGTGTCCAGGTTGCTGGTTGGTGCAGTCAGTCTCTCTGTACAGAGCACTTCCAGCTCAAGCTGTGAACACTCCACGAATAAGTCGTTAGAGGCAAAGACGAAGCCGCAGAAGAACTACGCTCGGCCGGCGCCCCAACCCTAACCTGGTAGCTTTTGTTGCTTCCTGAAGATGGGACTAAAGAGTCGTTTCAGTTCTGCCGCCTATGGCGCCTCCCACACGTATTCTGAACTTAGAACCCTAGCAAACATTATAATTTTAGCTGTTCTTAGGGATTATAATGACCAAAAATTTAAAACTATTTCTAAGTACCCCTAAGACACTCCTGTCCTGAGAAGTGTTGCAACCAACACATTCACAAACATGGTACTGACTCGAAGCATTTGTGCAGTTGCGGTGATATTCTTATACATTATACTAAGCTATGATATAATGGATATGAAACTATACGATAATCTTATGTATTTCTTAGAACTTAAATTGGCTGGCCTTGTGTCGTCTTGTTCTACGAGACCTGTCGTCCGACATCGCAGCCACATGTAGGCCACGTGCTCCACAAGCACTAAGTAGATCTCAAGCCGTGCCACACGTGAGGGCTGTTCTGCGCTATGCTGTTTTTCTGTAGCAGACCATGGAAGGCACCCGATGCTAGAGATCTCAGTGGTGTCTTGATGTTGCCGGAGACGCTAGCTCTTGAACAGTCGCAGCAAATTTAGCAACCTAGGACTCTCCTAAATGATGCTCTTAAAATCTTGCATCTGCTGCCCGTCGCATGTCTTGCTGGCAGCCAAAACGGTGACGTGCTGCGCAGGCCCAGATCGCAGTGTACGTTATTAAGTTCCTAGTAACCCTCACTAATACCCAGAAAGAAAAAGGGCAAAAGGGTACTACTCAGGAACATAGACATAGTACTTTGAGAGACTCATGTCCGGCCTTGGAGTGGGGCCTGTGAGCATGCGGCCGCATACCTGGAGTAGCCAGTGAGCCGATTTCCACCCCCTAAACCCTACACCCTAAACCCTCTCTTCAGCGCTTCCGCAGTACTCGCCGACCGGAGCATGCCTGGGGAGTGCAAAGCTCGAAACATGATACGGCTGCTAAACCTGTCAAGGCCCGAACCAACTCTCATCGTTCAGGGCGAAGGCTGTTCCGTTCCGAATTCGGGTAATCTTGACTCCCCAAACCCAATAGCCTCAATCCTCAAGAGTCATGTACAGGGAGTCCCAGCACTAATTGTCCTTGATCCGGTCTCCAACGTTTTAGGGTTTACTGTAGCTCAAAGCCCTGCAGCTGCATCAGGCAACTTTTGCATCGTTCCGTTGCACGCTTCAGCGCAGTCTGTACGGAAGTCTAGAGTCTAGGCAATGGATATATATCTTGAGTATCGGAAAGAATTCAAGATTGAAACGGAGGGCCGCAGATTTTGGGTCCACCTGCGCTGGGTTCGGTCTCCAGCCGTGGCGCTTACAGAAACACCAGCATCAGTTCAGGACACCTCTGGGCCCAAGGCCGGCCACACAAGGCAGATATGCCGAACTCAAACAAAAGCACGATCCATGGACCATTGAGCACAAGATATCGCCAATAGAACCCTGACTACAACCATATTTACTCGAATTCGGAGAAATAGATGGTGAGGTAGTGTGCCATGAGAGGTGGGCATGTTCTAGGCTTCGTGGCCTCTGCCCACAGAAACATCTCACGAGCTGTACGGAGAAACGCCAACCTTGGGATAGTCGCCCTGCCGGCCTCACAAGCAGCAACAAGATGTACAAGCAACTACATTAGAGGGCACACGTCTAAATGCCTCGTGCATATTGCTCTCATTTAGCATCTGCAGCTTTATGAGAAATCTACACATAAATGCACATGTGTGCGTGTGCATCTATGCAAGCATAAACATGTGTATACATTATATACATACAGATGTCTGCATGTGTGTGTGTGTGCGCTTTGTTTGTTTGTTGGTCTGTGCATGGGTGTCCTGTCTTCTCAACAAAAATTCAGAAAGCACCGTTCTGAACATTTAAAAGATAACGTGGATAAAATGCCCAATGTTGGGGCTACATAATTATTATATACTCAGCAGAGGCCCTGAGCCAATAAGCAACTTGACTTACAGCAACAGTTGCAAGAATCAAGAAACCGATTCCATCCAGCCAGTGGAAAAGTGAAAATTGAAGACAACGCGCGAGAGAGAGAGAGAGGGAGACAGAGAGAAGAAACAACGAGAAGGGCAGAAGATTCGGAACATGGATGCTAGGCTCCCGCCGCAAACCTCACAACTCACCCTTATCTTATTCCTAAACCCAAAACCCCCAAACCCTAAACCCTGATTCTCAGAGAGTCTGAAGCACGCTGGCCGAAAAAACAGCTCGAGGAGGGGATTAGGAAATACAGGGGCCGCAGTCATCACAGGGCTGTGGGTTTGTATGCTACTATGATCATAGAGGGGCTATAAGGGGATACTACTACAAAACTAGTCGTCCGGCTACTGTTGCGGACCTTGTGATTCGAAAACTATTGTGATTCTTGTGATTATGATTGTTCTTGTTATTGTCATTACTACTGTAACTATCATTACTACTATTGTTATGACTAGCATTGTTCTACTTGTTGTATTTTCGTAGTTATTGTTATAGCTATTAACTAATTCTTAGTTACTATTCCTATTGTTGTAATTATCAATATTGTTGTTGCTATTGTCATCGTTACTGCTACTATTATTGTTATTGCTACTGCTACTACTACGACGACGACTACTACTGCTGCTACTGCTGGTACTAGTAGTGTTAGTCTTATTAGCAAAAGTGTTATTATTATAATATATAGCTGTCTTTATTACTACTACGTATTCTGAACACTGGACTATTCTGATTTTGGCTATTGCTATCGCTGAAAAACTGTTGTTACGATTCCTATTTATTACTATCAGTGGTAGTCGTATTCTTACTATCCTTTTCTTTATCTTATCTATTAGTACTACAGAGCCAAACTTCCTGACCAGCCTCCACCGAAGGCCACGGCTGCGGCCTTCATGATCTGCTTGGCCAAAGGCTCCGGCTCCTCGAGGAGGTTTGAGAGCTTGGGATTTAGCAAGTATGGGTTCGACTTGAGGGTTTAAGGGTTATGGATTCGACTTGAGGGTTTAAGGTTGAGGCTTTAGGGTTGATGGGTTCGAGGGTTTACGGTTGAGGGCTTCGTGTTGAGGGTTTAATTATGGTTAGTGGTTGCGGGTTTAGGTTTGAGTGTTGCGGATTGGGGCTTCACGGGTCTGTCTGGTTTTCAGTTTGAGGCTCAGGGTAGAAGGTTTAGGAGCTATACTACAAAAACGCCACGCTACTATTACTAAGCATGACTCTTATCACTATTGTACTACTATTAGTTTTTCTGTATATGATGTGTTGTTATATGCATAAACACCAACAATGGTATTACTGTTGTAACTACTATTATCACTGTCATGATTCAGGGTTTCGGCTTGGACAGTCTTAGTGGAAGGTTGGGTTCCATGCAGACTCGGATCTAGGGCTCAAGGTACCATGCCTTTTCGTGTTGAAGGTTTAGAGTTCAGGGTTTAGGGCTTAGGGTTGCAAGGGGTGTATTTTCCGGCCCCTGATGCCTCACACTCTGCTCAGCCCGAAATGGACGATCAACCAGCAGCACTCCGAAACCTTAAATGGTGTGATGTAGGTCTGAACGTGCGGTATTTAATTACTGTGCTGAGATGCTCAACCTTATACTTAATAAACAACATTCGCACCGCAAGCCGGTCTTCATCCCAAAGCCCCCCAGCCTTAAGCAGACAGGAGACGATTTTCACTTCTACATGGGCTCGACTTCTCCCAACGAAACATCATTCATCACCCTTCAAAAAGACCGCTGTCCATGACCGACAAACCTTAACCCTAAACACTATCTCTCCCAATAACACTAACCTCCCAACCCTAAATCTTAAAACCCTAAACCCCAAACCCTAAATAAATCCTAAACCCCAAATCCTAAACCCCTTTATAGTACGTACCCTTCTAGAGATCCTTTTACATATCCCTTTAAAAGGAACCCTAAACCCTAAATCCCAAACCCTAACTCGGTATGAGCGCGCCTTCACGCTCTTCACGGCCACCAGCTGTCCCCGGAGGCTCCCGGAGCGATCCAGGAAGTTGCTGAGCCAGGCCTGGAGCATCACTAGATTAGGGTTTAGGATCTTTTTTGATGGTTTAGGGTTTAGAGTTTAGGGTTTAGGGCTTGGGTTTTCTTCAGTTTGGGGTTTACGAGTTAAAGTTTAGGGCCTGCGCTCTTTTCTGGCTGGTTTTGGATTTTTTGTTGGCAGTTTTAGTTCTGTTGGTAGCTGCTACCTGCACCCTCCACACATACGTATATATCACAAATAAATAAATAAAATAAAAAACAAAATAAAACAAAATAAAATAAAAACATAAAATAAAATAGAATAAAATAAAAAATAAAATAAAACAAAATAAAATAAAAAAAATAAAACATAATAAAATAAATAAATAAATATACATATATATACACATGTGTATACACAGACACATATATATATATATATATACATAGCAGATGATACATGTCGTTAGTATGTGTGTATATATATACACCGTCTATGTAATATGACATAATATATAAAAAAAAAATGTGTATACATAAATACACACACACACACATATATATATATATATATATACGAAAGCACATTAACATGCGTAGATTCAGATACTCATACATGTGCAGACCGCAGTTTCGGGTTTTGTCGGCAGCACACTGGGCTCCACGCAATCTGCTCGGCAGTGTCCTGGCAGCTGCATTCATGTAGGGGTGCTTAATGATTGGATTGGGGTTCTGGGCTCCTTTATAATATAACACTTTAAGGAACCCTAAGGAATACTTTCAAGGCCCTCCCCGAAAGCGAAGGGCTATGCCAAACCCGAAGCCGTGAAAATTCGGGAGCCTGTGCAAGTACGTGTTAGAGTTCAGGATTTATGCTTTTGCTCACGGCCTTTTGGGATCTTGGGCTTTAGGTTTTAGGTTGTAGAGTTCAGGGTCCGTCCTCGTGTTACTCTGAAGAACATCATGTTTGAATGTAGGTGAGTGTGGAAGGCTTTCCTTGTGCACTTAATGGGCTGCATGACTTGTGGACAGCCAAACCCTGGTTGGGATTTAGGGTTTCGGGTTTAGGGTTTAACACCCCAGCCTCGCAGTACTCCTTGCTCTGCACGTCGTGCAGGTTGTCAAGCATGGTCTGCAGATGTGTTCTATGCTTTCAGCTGACTCTAAGGACCAGCATGAACAAGCTACCGTACAGTGGTACATGACTCATTTAAATAAGGGAGACTGAAGTCTTAAAGACACGGGGAGTCAGGGCGATTCTTGCCGCCGGGTCTTCCACCTTAAACCCTAAACCCTAACCTGCGTATCGTGTGCTCTTGAGCCGGCTACATCTCCTCTCAGTCTCTCCTTGTGCGGATTGAAAATTTCGAGAGACTCTCTGGAGTCTATGGGTTTATAGGGCTTTGGGTTTAGGAGACGGCTTCCGAAATTCGAGTTTTGGGTGACCTGCAAAGCATCCAACGAACCCCAAATACACACCTGAGACTTGCAAGCTCTCTCCCTGCCGCCCCACCTTCCAAGCGCCTGGACCTTCATCCCGCGACCCTCCCCAATCCCTAATCCCTAATCCCCAGTCTCTCCACCCTACACCCCACTAAACCTTAAACCCCTGGAGCCTTGACTCTTGCTTCGTCCCGAGCAAGCTTGCCATCGAGCTCCATGAGAGCCTCTGGTTGGGGTTTAGGGCTTAGAGTTTAGGGTTTAGGGACGTTTAGGGATAAGGATTTAGGATTTAGGATGCTTTAGGGACGTTTAGGATTTAGGGTTTAGGGTTTAGGACGGTTTAGGGATGTTTAGGCTTTTCCAGGGGTGTGGGGCTTGGGGATGACGTTTAAGGTTCAGGCCTTGCAGGTTTCGATATGAAACTTCGGACCAAGACGGCCCTCAATCCTAAACCCTTAAGCCCTAAAACCCTAAACCCCTAAACCCCCTAACCCCCTTGCAAAACCGAAAAGGCACCTTTAAAGGAACCCTTATGGATCCCTTTAAAGGAACCCTATAACCCTAAACCCTAAAGCTCGGAAATCGTGGACCTTCGCGCACAAAGGCGGGATGCATACGGCAGAGGCAAGAGCTTTAGGGGTTTAGGGGTTTAGGGGCTTAGAGGTTTAGGGGTTTAGGATTTTAGAGGTTTAGGGGTTTAGGGGCTTAGAGGTTAAGGGGTTTAGAGGTTTAGAGGTTTAGGGCTTTAGGGCTTTAGGGGTTTAGGGGTTTAGGGGTTTACGGCTTTAGGGGTTTATGGGTTTAGGGTTGGTAGCTCCGGTGAGAGTGCAAATCACCGCAAAATCGGTGGAACGTCCGAGCAGGCACGTCTCATACTACTGCGAGCCGAGTGTGCCCCAGAGTGTCCAGACGCATTTGGGAGTTCCCGAAAACAGGGGACCCTAATATGGTATCCTAAATACTAGGATCCTGATTATAAGGACCCCCAAAATGAGGTACCCCTAATTTTCGGAAACCCCCAGATGACTTACTAGTATGAGCTAAGAACCATATCGAGATTTCGACACCGAACAACACACGAAACCAACTACGTGGTAGACCCCCCCAGGAACCCCCATAATAGCCCTGAGAATAATCCTTATAGACCCTTTAAAAGCACCGTTAAACGAGCCCTTAAAGGAACCCTTAGGTAATTGTTGAGGCCCCTATAGTACGTGGTAGACCACCCCCGGATGCCTGCCTCCACCGAGCATCCTTCCTCCAAGCAGTCTTGGATCGCAACCGTCGTGGCCTCTCTGGGTTTTAGGGGCTTAAGTGGTTTATGGCTTATAGGGTTTAGGGGGCTTAAGTGGTTTAGGGCTGATAGGGTTTAGGGTTTAAGTGGTTTAGGGTTTAAGCTTGGGGACCTTATATAAACAGACTTTGGGGAATTTCAGGTTGCGAGCTTCACGGCTTTCGAGAGCCTTGAGCTGGTCAAGCATAGGGCTTGGGGTCTTCAGGGTCTGCAATCAATGAGGGTTTAGGGGTTCAGGGGTTTAGGGTTTAGAATATGTTTCCTTTAAAGGGTTCTTAAGGGGGTCTATTAGGGATCTAGAGTAGGGTTCTATAATGTAGGGCCTTAATAAATAGAATAGGGTTCCTGTAAAGGCTTTGCCCATAAGGGATCTATAGTAGGGTTCTAGAATTGAGTCGTGGAGTCCGCATAAGACCTTTCGGTGCACGGGGGCTAAAAAAGGCTGTATGTCACTTCTATACCCCCTTAGAAACATAATAAAAAGAACATGTTGAATATTCTCTTGGGTTTTATATGAACAAAATTTGAAGAAATAATTCAAAAGGAGACCTTAGACTTCATGAGTTTGAGACGGTGTTGATGGGCTGAGTGAAGCACAGGGGACCCACGCGGAACCACTGCCCTTCGCAACCTATGAGCGGTTTAGGGTTTAGGGTTTAGGGCCCTTTATCCGTGCTTTGATAAACATTGCTTCGACTGCACCCGCCAAGAGCAAGCCCCGAACCCCCAAATTCCGAACCCTACACCGCTCTTAAACGCTGAAGTCGCATCTTTGGTTCTTTGAACCCAGCAGTTGCTACCGCAGTCTTGCAGACCCGAACATACATGTCAAAGTAGTTTTTGGTAACGGCCTGTAAAGACTGAACAGGGTCTTGGCCGGATCTTACATACGCATGCAGGACGAAACTGGAAGGGCTACGTAGTTGCTGAGCTCCTTAACCCACAAAGGGCTAATCAATCTATGAGTCCTGATAAATGTAGGCCCAGAAAGCTAAGGTTGCTTACTCAGCTACGTCTTGCTACGCCCCTGTTGTCTCGCAACAAACACTCACCGAAAAGGCAGGCAGGAAGTCCTTCCTAAAACCCTAAACCCCAAAACCCTAAACCCTAAAACCCTAAACCCTAAACCCTAAACCCTAAAACCCTAAACCGAAAAGCCCTCATCAAGACGTTTCCAGCTCGATGCAGCACCTTTCTCCCTGACTCCTAAACCATCACTAGACCCAAGAGTAACCTAGGAACAAAGAGGGTGCCGTTTCTGGTTTAAAGGGTGTTATAAAAGAACCTAAACCCTAAAAAAAGGGAATAACGGCCTACTCTGCGTCCTAGCTTATCATCATACCAACAGTATAAACAAGATACTATAACTATGATAAGGAACCCTTTAAAAAGTATGGTCATCATTTAGGCCCCTATATTACACCAGAATCGACTACCTTAATTTATGGCATATTCCTGAATGAAGGGCTATTAGAACCCCCTGAACCCTAAACCCTATAGCTCCTTCAAGGATCCCTTAAAGGATCCCTTAAAGGCTCCCTTAAAGGCTCCCGTAGAGGCTCCCTTAAAGGATCCCTTAAAGGATCCCTTAAAGGATCCCTCAGCGAAGCTTGGGCCTCGTTTGCCTCCAGCATCGGCTCGGGCATATGCCGAGACTTCACAACCGTGCCGTCTACGCCAAGGTTGATCTGCAACGCTGGAGAGGTTTGGAGTTTAGGGTTTAGGGTTTAGGGTTGAGGGTTTAGGATTTGGGGTTCAGGGCTTAGGGTTTGTTGATCTGCAATGTTGGAGAGGTTTAGAGTTTAGGGTTGAGGGCTTAGGGTTTAGGGTTTAGGGTTCAGGGCTTAGGGTTTGTTGATCTGCAACGTTGGAGAGGTTTAGAGTTTAGGGTTGAGGGTTTAGGGTTTGTTGATCTGCATGTTGGAGAGGTTTGGGGTTCAGGGTCTGCAAGTCGGAGAGTTTGGAAGTTCGGAGATCATGACATAAAGGTTTTGGGGTAGGGTTCAGCAAGGATCTGGGACCCTGGAAAAGATCCCCAAACCCATCTCAATCCTCAACCTATCACCGGGCAGAAGGGAGGGCGCGGGCTAGCAATCTCAATCCTCAACCCTGAATCTTAGCAGGTCCTGGCGTTCAACTTCATCCTTGCATGCTTCATCTTTCGCACACGACAAGAAGTCTCTCTTCAAGCATCCGATGCCAAGCGGTTCCCAACGGTGCAAAAGCTCGAAAGTTCAGGTTTGAGATTCGGATTCCTTCGGGAATTACGGCCAGGGAAATTCAGGCATGTTAGGCTGGTCGGAGATGAACCATACCACTCCGCATATCCACTATCGTGTTGCTTTTGATCCATAGCTGCTAAGGTTTACCGAATTCAGCACATCAAGAAAACTTCTCATATGACAAACTGTCAGTGAACCCCACACGAAGGAGCACCATATCTCAATCTAAGTTTAAAGGCCCCGATGCGGTAGTGGTTCGGGCTATGTCGGTGTTCCTACAACTCAGTTTTTTCAGGCTCGGGGCTAGTGTGCAGAACGCCTGTAGTGACCCCGAAACCATAAACCCTAAACCCCCAACCCTAGTGATCCCAAATCCGAACCAGGTTACTACGTCTTCCGACCCCCGAGTAAGGATCTCGCGCACTTTAGCTGTATCCCTCAACCCAAACCTTAAACCCGAATATAAGGGCCTAGCAACCCTTAAAGCCTTAAAGGGCCTATACGGGATCTATAGTAGGGTTCTGCAATAGGGGCGCCTTAATAACTAGAATAGGGCTTTGGGGTAAATTACACTACAACTTTTAATAAGGAGCCCCCAAAAGAGCATTGGTAATTCTCTAAGCCCCTATCGTAAACACTAAATCACAGGACTGCGATAAGAGTGGACCCCTGCGTGTTGCACTTTGCGGATGGGGCATGCTGCATCAAAATGGGAGTTTCCAAAAGCCAGGGGTACCTTATTTTGGGGTCCTAATCATAAGGATCCTACTATTTGGTGTAACATATTAGGGTCCCAGCCCGCTACTGTCCACAAGCCTACACCCGAAGCGCTCCCTCGACTGTATACGGCAACCTCATGTCCCTGAACTCATGCATAGAGGCGGAGGGGAATGTGGAGCGGGTATAGTTTAGGCTGTAAAAAGGAAAACCCAAGTAGAATAATTCAAACCTCAAGTAAAACCAACTAACCGAGACCAATGACCCTTCAAGCAGCCCCTAAACGCCGTAAGAAACAGGGACGAACACGGGACCATGTTACTAAATTATTTAGGCTAGAAGATTAAGCCTTAACCCGTTTTACTTAAAGAAAAAACTTGCCTTTCCCTGCTCGAAGGCCCGCAAGGTCAGGCTCTGAGGTGCCCGTGCCTGGGCAGAGCAGGTCTTGGTGTGGGGTTTAGCGTTTACTTGGAGGGGCAGGGGACTTTGTAAGTAGGTTATAAGTAGGGTTATAGCTGGGTAACTCCATTTAGGGTACTTATAACTCTACTTATAACCTACTTACTAAGTCCCCTGCCAACCCAAGTAGGGTTGAATTTTATATACAGGGGTCTATATGGGTAGTTGTCAAAATCATCGCCCCTTTCTGGGTAACCTAAATATTGGGTGCCGTATGATAGTAAGGACCCAACCAGGGACCATAATTCTGACAACCACCCATATGCCTTTACAATGGTTTTTGTAGGGTTTAGGGCTTCAGGATCTCTGTTTTTTGGGTTTCCATGCTCAGGCTTTAGGGCTTAAAGGTTAGGGGCTTTAGGGTTTATGGTTCAGGATTTAGGGTTTTGGGGTTTTGGGGTTTTAGGGTTTAGGGTTTAGGGTTAAGGGCTTCGGGCTTGCGATGCTATCAATCCGCACGGAACTGGAGGGCCCCCGCCGTCCGGAAGGGCGCGGAGACGAAGAGCAAGGCCTTCAAAGTTTTTCGCGGAGACTCCAATACTTGGAGGATCATGGGACTTAGTAAGTATGGTTATACCCTCCAGCAGGCTGTGCACGCGCAGATTGCGCGCCTCCTTTGACTCGGTATTTACAGTGTTTCCTTCGTGTCGCATGGCAAACACACCGGTAATTACGGTATATTCGGCACCTACTGAAACCCACATTTTGCACCTGCCGTTTCCCTCGGTATTTACGGTGTTTCCTTAGGGTCATATGCCGAGCACACCGGTAATTACGGTGTGTTCGGCACTTTCTACAGCCCACGTCAGCCCACGTCGCCCAAACCATCCATGGGTGGCCCATAGATCAGACTCCATCCATCCATGTGCCAACCATGATAACGTCCACATGTGCCAACCATGATAACGTCCAGATCAGATTCCATCCATTCCCGCAGAGCATCCATGTGGGCAGCCATGATAACGTCCAGATCAGACTCCATCCATTCCCGCAGAGCAGCCATGTGGCAACCATGATAACGTCCAGATCAGACCCCATCCACTCCCGCAGAGCATCCATGTGGCAACCATGAAAACGTCCAGATCAGACTCCATCCATTCCCGCAGAGCATCCATGAGGCAACCATGAAGACATCCAGATCAGACTCCATCCATTCCCGCAGAGCATCCATGTGGCAACTATGAAAACGTCCAGATCAGACTCCATCCGCCCCCGCAGAGCATCCATGTGGCAACCATGATAACGTCCAGATCAGACTCCATCCATTCCCGCAGAGCATCCATGTGGCAACCATGATAACGTCCAGATCAGACTCCATCCCTTCCCGCAGAGCATCCATGTGGCAACCAGGATAACGTCCAGATCAGACTCCATCCATTCCCGCAGAGCATCCATGTGGCAACTATGATAACGTCCAGATCAGACTCCATCCGTCCCCGCAGAGCATCCATGTGGCAACCATGATAACGTCCAGATCAGACTCCATCCATTCCCGCAGAGCATCCATGTGGCAAGCATGATAACGTCCAGACCAGTCTCCATCCTTTCCCGCAGAGCATCCATGTGGCAACCATGATAACGTCCAGATCAGACTCCATCCATTCCCGCAGAGCATCCATGTGGCAACCATGAAAACGTCCAGATCAGACTCCACCCACTCCCGCAGAGCATCCATGTGGGCAACCATGATAACGTCCAGATCAGACTCCATCCGTCCCCGGAGAGCATCCATGTGGCAACCATGATAACGTCCAGATCAGACTCCATCCATTCCCGCAGAGCATCCATGTGGCAACCATGATAACGTGCAGATCAGACTCCATCCCTTCCCGCAGAGCATCCATGTGGCAACCATGATAACGTCCAGATCAGACTCCATCCATTCCCGCAGAGCATCCATGTGGCAACCATGAAAACGTCCAGATCAGACTCCACCCATTCCCGCAGAGCATCCATGTGGCAACCATGAAAACGTCCAGATCAGACTCCATCCATTCCCGCAGAGCATCCATGTGGCAACCATGATAACGTCCAGATCAGACTCCATCCATTCCCGCAGAGCATCCATGTGGGCAACCATGATAACGTCCAGATCAGACTCCATCCGTCCCCGCAGAGCATCCATGTGGCAACCATGATAACGTCCAGATCAGACTCCATCCATTCCCGCAGAGCATCCATGTGGCAACCATGATAACGCTCCAGATCAGACTCCATCCGCCCCCGCAGAGCATCCATGTGGCAACCATGACAACCAACGTCGCAGATCAGACTCCATCCATTCCCGCAGAGCGTCCATGTGGCAACCATGAAAACGTCCAGATCAGACTCCATCCATTCCCGCAGAGCATCCATGTGGCAACCATGAAAACGTCCAGATCAGACTCCATCCATTCCCGCAGAGCATCCATGTGGCAACCATGATGATAACGTCCAGATCAGACTCCATCCATTCCCGCAGAGCATCCATGTGGCAACCATGATAACGTCCAGATCAGACTCCATCCATTCCCGCAGAGCATCCATGTGGGCAACCATGAAGACATCCAGATCAGACTCCATCCGTCCCCGCAGAGCGTCCATGTGGCAAGCATGATAACGTCCAGATCAGACTCCATCCATCAACCATGATAACGTCCAGATCAGACTCCATCCCTTCCCGCAGAGCATCCATGTGGCAACCATGATAACGTCCAGATCAGACTCCATCCATTCCCGCAGAGCATCCATGTGGCAACCATGAAAACGTCCAGATCAGACTCCACCCACTCCCGCAGAGCATCCATGTGGCAACCATGATAACGTCCAGATCAGACTCCATCCATTCCCGCAGAGCATCCATGTGGCAACCATGATAACGTCCAGATCAGACTCCATCCATTCCCGCAGAGCATCCATGTGGCAACCATGATAACGTCTTAAACAGACTCGCACTCTCGAGAGCTGCTGCTTCAAAGAAACCGGCGGCGTGCTTTTCTTCCAAGAAGAGAAATGTTCGAGTTGTGGATGGTGATAATCAATGCGAGAGCCAGATTGCTGTTGGCAAGAACCAGTTGCGCAGGCTCAGTGCTATGGGCAGAATGGCACCGCGCAATGCGCACACGACCCTTCTTTCTGCCCGTCGCCTGTTGCGGAAACCTGGCTTCAAACCCATTTTCCAGGCCTTGCGTCTTTATCGTACAGAGAGAGCGGGACTGCTGGGATGCGATCCGTCGCGCTACTGCGATGTGCAGCATGATGCAGCCTGGTTGTTCTGACAGAGCGAAAACGTAGAGGGTGCAGCGAAAATGGAGAAAAAGTTGGAACTTTTGCACGCCGCGCGGCTGTAGTGCAAGATGCGAAACACTCGGCAGGGACGACGTTTGCAACATTTCTTTCCTAATTGGCGCGCGTGAACAGCCCGCTGGCGCGTTGTTATAAGTACCTTAATTGGGGTTATAAGTAATTATAAGAATAGTTACTTTATATAACTATAACCCTAGTTACTAAGTCCCATGACCATCTAAGTAGCCCTTAATTAAGGAATATACCTTCAATCATGTGAGGGATCCTACCATAATTTAAGGTATATTCCTTAAGGGATATTGGAGTCTCTGGGTTCGGACCGGCAGGTCGGGGTTTGGGGAGGTTTGCAATGTTTCGGTTTAAGGTTTACCTTAACCCTGCAGGACCTACCTTTTCAAGGACTTGTATAAAGAAATCATAATAAGGAACCCCCCCCCCTAAAAGGTAGGTTATTCAGGGTTAAGGTAGGGTTAGGGGTTTGGGATTTAGGGTTTAGGGTTTAGGGAAAACTGTCTGGTGCTTAGTAGGGAACGGGGGAATGGGTTAATTGGGACTGCTCTTGGGGATTATTATAGGGGCTACTACAGGGATCCAGTACCCCATTCCCTACTAAGCACCAGGCAGAAAAGTGCACAGAGCATGGATCCGTGGACCCGACGTGCAACTGCTACAGTATCCGCAGCTTACAATTCAATATTGTTCAGCCGAAAAGAGCAACCATTGGACAGAATGGTCCTACACGCTGCAGGATCGAAAAGGTCCGCCTGGCGAAGGCCAAGCGTGAGCAGGACAGCCTGGCATTTGGGGTCTTAAGTTTCGAGTATCACACGGGGGGTTCTCCAAAGGTGAGGGGTTCTTGAGAGGAAGTCTTCTGCGGATTGCAAAACTCAACATCCCCTCCTGCCCCCGAATGCATTCCCCGTTAGCTGGCCTGTTCGGGTTCTTGGAGAAGTCCGACCTATGCAAAACAGAAAAAACAACACATCAAGCCAGACGTAACTGTAGCTGACTTGACTTACCTAGCCCTACACCCACAACCTTGCATGCTAGGGCCCTACACCAAGGGGCCAAGGGGTCCCTCTAATCCAAACTCAAAACCCTAAACCCTGAACCCTAAACCCATTATAGTATACTTATACTAGTGAACCCCAGTTTTAGTATAGCTAACTATTTAAAGCGCCTATACTATAGAACCCTACTATAGATCCCTTCTAGGCCCCTTATAGAGCCCTTTAAAGGAACCCTCTTCAGAATTATTTAAGGCCGCTAAAGTACACCCGCTGCTCTGCAGCATCACCGTGATCAACTTGCCGGTTGCGACCAGCAGCGCTGTGCGGAAGCTGCGACCTTGGTCTTGAAGCTTCTTTAATATACCCAGAGACTCCAAAATCCCTTTATTAAGGAAGATGCCTTAAATCAAATTAGGATCCCACTATGATTTAAAGTATATTCCTTATTAAGGGATAATGGAGTCTCTGGGTAGGGGCCTGAATAATTAGGATAGAGCTCCTTGAGAGGGTTCTATAAGGGGCCTATAAGGAATCTATAGTAGGGTTCTATTGTATAGGGGCCTTAATAATTGGAATAGGGTGCTGGGGCCCATTACACTATAATTATAATACGGAACCCCCAAAATAGCATAGGTAATTACTAAGGCCCCTTTATTATGCTCTTCAGTGGTTCGCAGGTGTTTAAGATGTTCGGAGCTGCTAGGACTTTTGGCGCGCTTGCGTTTTTAATGTGCGTCTAGGGGTTTTAAGATGTGTATGATTTCTTGGGTCCCTCAAGGGCGCGGGCTGCCGTGAGGAATTTATTTCGATACCGCATGTACTGGCCGCAGGCCTTCGACCCACCTACGCCCCTACCCCTGTCGAGATTGGGGGTTTAGGCTCTAGCGTTTGGGGCTTTTGGGGTACAACCCTTACAGGAGTCTCAGAAGTTTGACACCGTTTCCATGGTGTACCTCTGGTACAGAACCCGCATAAAACCCTGTAACATCCGCACCACCCTTCGAGAACCCTAAACCTGAAACCCTCAATGCCAAAATGCAAGAACCACAGAGAGAGAGAGAGAGAGAGAGAGAGAGAGAAAGAGAAAGAGAAAGAGAAAGAGACGCACACTAAATGAGAATGGAGACACGGCGCACATGCACACATTATTTGCAACGCTCCTCAGGACCCCGACGGACGGCCATGTCTCTTCAGCAATCGTCAGCTGTGGGAATGCCAAAATCTTACCAGGCGAGCGGCTGCAGCCGGCGAAGTGCTGTTTAATGCAGGAGCCTCAATAGTTGAAATCAGGTTTTGGTGGGTACATTAGACTCCGGACCCCAATTTGTAGCGTTTGGGCTTCAATTAAGGCTGTAAGTTTAAGCTTCATTTGCGGCTTCGGATTAAGGGTCGGGAACACTGACAGTCACAGCTTTTTCCATCGTATCTTTAGCGACTACTCGATGGAAAGCGTTACAGACCATCTACCCTGTAATCTGGCAGCAAACGCTCTTTCCACGCAGCTGCGGGGTGAGACTGTGGTGCGGAGGTTGCGGAAGCTTGTTCTCTGCTGTTTCTGGGCAACTCAAACTGAACACGGCTGTCTGTATTCCCGACTGTAAACGTCCCTAGATTGCACAGTCTAGTCAAACCCCTCCTGACCAAGAAAGTGCAGAGGGGCACCTCGGTCCTCTTGCAGCAGTTCCGTGTAACTTGCCCAGCCTGTGAAAGGAGATATCCCTGCCAGCTATTCTGTTGCAGGCACCTCCTGTTTGAACGAGGCCGTTGCCGTTCGGCAGCGATTGTGGCGAAGCCCGTGCGAAGACTGCAGTCTATCGCACATGTCACTCTGCACGGCTCGTTTAGGGTTTAGGCTCCTTTGGTAGAACTTCACAGCCACATGGGAGTTTCCGAAAATAGGGGACCCTAATATAGTACCCTAAATAATAGGATCCTGATTATAAGGGCCCCAAAATAAGGTACCCCGAATTTTGGGAAACTCCCACATACTACATAAGATCATGCCGTTGACCGAATGAATAGAACTGTTTCTTCATCATGCACCTGCTCCAGAACATTACCTTCCCACATTCAGGGTTCATGGTTTAGTATGTGGGGCCTAGGGGCTCTAGGGTTCATGATCTAGGATTTGCAGGCTTTGGGTTTAGGAAACCCCCCCTGTACGCCAGTGAGGAGGGATCGTTAGTCCGTTTCAAAATTGAGGGAAAGGGTTCCTAAAACGCTAAACCCTAAACCCTAGACGAACAGTTAGAGCCTTCTGCAGACAGGCCCGGCTCACGGGAACGCAGAACTGGAGCGCTTGCAGAGCGCCCCAAGAAGCCTCGCCCCACCACTAAACCCCAAACCCGAAACCGTAAACCCCAAGCCCTAAACCCCAAAACCCAAGCCCGAAACCCTAAATTCTCCACCACCAACAGCACCACCGCAACAACAACAACAAGGCATCGTGAAGGCCCTGGAAGGAGAAACTGGGCAAAAGGCAACAAAGTTGAAGCTGGTTGGTTGAGGGTTGAGAAGTTAGGCCTCAAGCTTCTGAGCTTTGTGTTTTTCAGGTGTGGCAAGTGTCCCTAGGTCCGAAACCCAACCCCTTCATGGATGAAGCCTGAGGTTGAAGGTAAGGGCTTGTGGTCCGCTTGCTAGAGGCCACAAATTCGAGGCGGGGGCTCAACATCAGAAAACCTGATTTTCACCAATGGCTATGTGCATGAACTGCGAAGTAGTGGCTAGGAAATAGGATCTAGGGAATCAAGGGTTTAATGGTTCAGGGTTTAGGATTTGTTTGGTGTGTTGCTTGGGGGTTTCCTGCCTTTTTTGGGCGGTGGTGGTGGTGGTGGTGGTGGTGGTGGTGGTGGTGGTGGTGGTGGTGGTGGTGGTGGTGGTGGTGGTGGTGGTGGTGGTGGTGGTGGTGGTGGGTGGTGGTGGTGGTGGTGGTGGTGGTGGTGGTGGTGGTGGTGGTGGTGGTGGTGGTGGTGGTGGTGGTGGTGGTGGTGGTGGTGGTGGTGGTGGTGGTGGTGGTGGTGGGGGTGGTGGTGGTGGTGGTGGTGGTGGTGGTGGTGGTGG